TAATTACCCACTAAAATTATGAGAGAATTGCATATCATTTGTCAGTAACAGGATGATGAGTGGTTGCTATCTGGGACGGGATAGACAGCTGGACAATACTACTCGGTTCCTGGTTATGAATCCCTATCAGCTTGCGGAAAAGTATAAAGACAAATTAACACTTTATTCTGTAGTTTATTCGTTTAGAGGATCGTCAGACCCTCTATCTAGATCAGGCTTCTACAACGTTTTGTGTTTATGTGGTAAGGTCTATGTGGGGGAACCTTCCGACTCAGCCAAAGGAGACTATGGGAAACTGAAACCGCTCGCTAAAGTATATGGGTCTAAAAATCTGATCTCGCTGAACGTATGGATAATACAGAACACTCGCTATACTGGCCCAAAGCACAACTTTTTGTGTCTAATGGGGACTTCCTATCCAGCTATCCCTTTCACACTTCCCATGATATAAACATTGCATACACACAATAGAAATACAACACAAACCCACATAAGATTCAACATTAGAGGATCGTACACTAGATTATTTGTGTAAAGAAACAGCCGCCACCGAACGCACTTCCAGTTCGTGAAGTAACTTCACTCATTTGCAAGCATGTAGAGTATGGTTGAGGCTGTCTAATTAAGATCGCAAGGTTGGGTGTATGAAAGATGGATTATCTTGTCATCCAGACACATTTTCTCTTGGTTTAGTATCTTTTTGCTCTATTCTTGCACTAGTGATGCCTGTCATAGTACAGACAAATGCTTTCTACAGGTTGATCGGGGTTGAGCAGGGGACTTCTTCACACAATTCAACAGTCTTGCCTACGAAGCAAATCTTCTTTGATTTCCGATGAGACCACATCATGAATTCTTTCCAACCAACTTTCCCTTCGAAGTGAAATCTCATCTCACTATATATTACTAAGGAATTATTCGAAACCCAGTTTTCTTCAAATCTCCTGGATTTCCATTGTTAAATTCACTTCCATTTCGTGTAAACTGGTGTTACGAAGCTATCCATTGGTCAATACTAGCAAAAATTGTATACATTTCTCTTGGCTTTACTCTATCCTTCTTACAATTAAGTTGAGCTAATGTGACAACCAGACTCACCGGCCCATTCCATGACTAGTTGGTCGGGATTTTTTGTGGGAATCGGTACACGAATTGAAGATATTTGTCAGGTGATTTGAATTACGAAAGCCTATCAATTTTTCGTTGATATGTAGGCTTCCGAGATTATCGGAAGATCATACTTTTGATATGAATTGACTTTATTTCGTTTAAGGTGATTAGGAGAATCGCCCATATTCCTGATCTTCCGAATGGCATTCTCACCCAGTTTAGGCGGCAGTTTTGAGCTCGCCTTGGCCTAATCAGAACCCTCAGCGCTACTTTAACCCTGACACTGCAGCGTATAATCTCGACACGTTAACCTCCACGCTAAAATGACACAATGTCGTTGGGTCACAGGGTAGATGGGCATATTAACGAGGGCTAGGCATTTTCACTTATCACATTCTCTGTTGGGATCGTCAATGAGGCAAAGTTATATATGCTATGACAATCGACTAAATTTTTATGTATGAAAACCTAGATGTTGTGGTCTCTGGTGTGGTCGCAGTCTCCTTTCGATTTATAAAAGTGGGTTGAACTCGTTGTCGCAACTTGGTCTTGTTGTCAGGGCGACTATGTAGAACGCACCTAGTC